TTCGCGGTTGTTCGCGAAACTCGTATCTCTTTCGTTGGCTCGTCGCCGATCGAAAACGGACGGACGAAACCTCGAATCGTTCTCGATCGCGACCAACCGCGCAGAATTCGATTTCTTCCAAAGATTACGACGTGGCACGGCGCGACGCGGCGTGGCCGATGGGCACGTTTCTCTCGCCGCTTCGTCCACTTCCAAGTATCTTTGCGCCTACGTGCTCGGCGTAAGTCGCCTTGTCCGACTCATCGTCGTCGTTCCAGCTGGCGCCGTTTTATTTTCTCGCGTTTCACCGAGTCCACCCGGAATAATGTTCGTTCGACTCGTAAACGATCGAGATTCGGTCGTCGGTAATCGCGACGAGCGAAACGCCGTAAATCGTCGAAAACGATAGAGACACCGTAACGTCTAATGGGACTCGATTCGAATAATCGGAACGGAACGGCACGGTGCACGCGAACGCGATCAACGCGGCTGTAAATTGCGAGCGCGAAAGGGCAGGTGACCGCGCGTCGAGAAGCAGCAGCTAGGTAATTTTGCATCGGAATACGTAGAGCGAGATCTTCTCGGAGGCGATTAGTCCTACGGATCGATCGTGGTAAGCGTTATCGCCGGACAATTCGATTTCACGGGAAAAGGAGTAGGTCGCGTCAGGTGCAAATTTCGACGGAACGAGAGCAATCGACGTTCGAGCGAGGAAATTTCGAAGACGAACGTTACGACAGGTGGGCGCGAGCAGCTTCGCCAAACGCCTCGGAACCGGAAGTTCCTCCTTTTTCGACGCGCGTTTCGCTGCTTACCGTTTACGCTGTCGGCATTTCGCTTTCGACAAATTTCGCTCCGAAAGGAGCGAAGGAGTAGAAGTTTGCGGGAGAGAGGCGTGTGCCCGCGGGGGCGTTCGATTTCGGGTCGCTGGAATCGCGTGCAGGCTCGCGCGGTTCTCATCGGTGTCCAAGAACTCGTCGGCGATCGTGTTCGATTCGGAGCAGGATTTTACCACGGTCGTTCGAACGGCGTTGCCTCGGGGATAAACCGGGGATCGAAGACGTCGGCGTCGATCTACGACGAC